TTCAAAGCAGCACCTGAGGAAAAGACTTCTCTACAGAGGTGTCTCTCTTGCTCTGTGGCCTCAGTATGTTTTAGCAGGTGTGGGTTCAGGCACCGTGAGGGATCAATTACTCACATCCCAGAAACAACTTCTCTAAGATGAAGAAAAGAGGAAAAAGCATAGGGATGTGAGTACAAGAAGCTGTTACAGAAAGCTGTCAGCTGGACTGGATTGTCTGTGGCTGCAGAAAGAAGCAGAAAGAAAAAAAAAACCGCAGCCTTTGCTTCCGAATTTTAGAAAATTCAAGTCCAGCTTTTTCTTTCTAAAGGAGGCACTGACTTAACTAAAAGCCAGACTTGAGAAGAGCTGGTTATAAAGTTACAAAATGATTAAATAAAAATGACTGGTTAGCACTGCTAAAATGACAAACTGAAGTTAAATATATGGGGAAAAAAAGCAGCAGTGGTCTTGTAGCCAAGTAATTGGTAGAACTCTTGGCTTAATTTACAACACATTAAAATCTTAACCTTTTAATATATTAAAATATTTTAAGACTAAATTATGAGCAGCAACTATTTAAATTGTAAATTTGTGGCCATTTTCTAACATTACTCTTTCATAAAAAAAATCTAAACTGTATTACAGTGAGGTTTGATTATCAGATCAGGTTCTGGACAACACAAGGACAGGCTCCTCCAGATCTAATTATTAATGGCATTATTGAGTTCAACCAGATGTTTCACAAGGATAAAATTAAGTACACGAATAAATCAAGATCCAAGTGCGCGCTCCGATTTGACAGAAGATAAGGAAAGGTGAAACAAAAAGTAATGAATACAGTTAATGAAAAACTATATATCCCTGGTTGTTAATGTAACTTGAAATTTAAAATTGAACATGTAACAGGCCTGTTAAATGACCACTCTGCTGACAGACAAATGAGCGGGATGTTTCTCACATCGTCTTTCCTGCTGGATTCTGTCTGTCCAAGTTTTAGACACCCTGAGTACTAAGCATTCCACAGCTTCCCAAAGTAATTACAGAGCAGAAAGTCATACTTTCAGAGTACAAAAATACCGTTAAGGAGCTACATTTCTATCAAAAATGTCGAGATTTCAAGTATTATCCTAATGGATAATCCTTTATGGAAAGGATGTAACTGAAAAGTAGTGTACATGATTTACAACACAGTATATACTTGTCCTCTCACAGCTTTTAAAACTGCAGGATCATTTGCATCTTATCAGCTGTCAATCAGATGCTAAACAAGAAAAACAATTAAAATCTAGTATTTTAAGAAAAGGAGGAAGACATCAAAAACCAGAATGATTTTTAACTAGCAAAAATACTTTCAGAGAACAATTTAGCCATAAGTAAGTTATTCCTACAAAATAATTAAGCCTCTGGAAACAGAAATACCTACACCAATCTCAGCCAATGATTACAATTGTAGTGGTATAATAACTCATCTAAATCGAGTCAAGAATTAACTCGAAGGGTCTCTGGTGTATTGCTCTTGCAGTAAGTTTACCTGAAAACACAGACCGAGCTGATGGCTGGCTTTGGATCAAGGTGGCACAGAGAAAAATGTGGAGCATGCAGTATGCACTCCCTCTACTGGGCACTGGAATTATCCCAAGCAGGCATTCCGAGAAAAAAGGGATATGTCCAAGCATTCAGGTACCGTGAAATAAAAGCCTTTCTACAAGTCCCTCCCTCTTCCCCCTGGATTCGGCTAAAACACAAGTTCACAGGAAAATGGATTTCAAAACTCTTGTTTATACTCCCGAAATGCAGTTTCTGTCAGAAACCTGATTCACCCAAACAAGAATTTAACTACCCTTGTGTAAGCACACAAAAACCCACTTGCCTTTGACCAACACAGCACGTCTGTCATTTTTTGTCCAGCTCCCACCCATCTGAAACAGTAACAGCTCAGAAAAAATTTCTTGATGACTCCTGATCTGCTGGGGGCACAGAAACAGGAAGAGGGAATCTCTGGGCAGCAGAGATGTATTAATAATTATAAAATCTGCTGTGAGGGGTTTGTTTCTAGACAGCCAAAGAACAACCTCTCTTTTTCTTTTTCCTCTCCTCCCACAGCTCCTGAGAGCCAACTGCAAAATGGTGCCACAGGCTACTGGTGCTGGCAGGGTCTAAGTGTCAAGTGGAAATGCTGGCCCTCCTTGTAATTAAGGCTCTCTGATGGTTTGAGTTCCTCACTCTCACAGAAGAGAAAAGAGGTGGTTATAGCTCATGTCACTATAAACCATTTTAAGTCAAAGTGTCTCACTGTATAAAGTCCTGTGCTTTCCTTCAAGTGACTTTGTGGAAATGAAGTTCCACAAACCTACAGGAAGTTCTGTACTTTGCAAAGCAGTGGGACTTTTCCATTTTTCAGTAGAGGTAAAAAAAAAAAACAAAAAAACAAAAACCAAAACAAACTTTGGAGAAAATAATTTGTGCCAATTTTCTAACAAGGCTGTGACTGCCCACAAGTCCTGCCTTGGAGGCTGGTGCTCCGTGATCTGCAAAATGAAACAAGAAACAATGGAAAGTTTGGATGCAATAATTAGGATTGCCAAAAGCACACTCCTTGTGCACCAAAAAAAATGATTCTTGTGTGAATGCAGGCCAGGTAACCACCAATTTCTTCCTCTTAGTGTAATTTACATCCAGCTACACTGCTGGTATATCCATATTAAATGGCAGCACCAAGAATTACTCCAGATATATACAATTATTTGCATTTCAGCCACATCTTTGTATAACTGAGCAGCTAAATAAGAGTACCAATGACACATGGCAATGGTAAGGGACTTCAGCACCTTCTCTCTTTTAAGTGGCAATTTAAATCTCTGCAGGATTGAGAGTTATAGTAGAGTTCACAGTAATAAATCTCCAGGTTCACCGTCTCTCACTAAACCCTTTGCTTTATCAACTTTCCTGATCTCAGTTTGAGGATGGGTAAAGCCTCTACTCTCTCTGTTCCAACACAGAACAGAAACAAAGCACAGAAAAGAACAGACAAAAAGGGGGAAAATCAGTGACCACAAGAAGCATGGAGATTGAGCACGAAGAAAATGCAAAAAGTCTGATAACTCTTGACAATTCTGCTCCATGTGCCACCAATAACATCCGTAATGCCCCATGCTGCTGGGACAGGGTGGTCCAGAGCCAGGGCTCTGAAGGACAGACAGACCATCAGCACTTCTTCTCCGGGGTTTAAAGACACAGAAGGCAGTAAAACTTTGGCATGGCAAGAGCTATAGCTCCAAGGACACAAGGACAGACAGAGCCACAATACATAACACAGGCAGCAATGCTGAACTAAAGAGGAGTTGTGTGTTTCATATGCTGACATGTAAATATTTGACAGATGGGGATTTAATAACCATGGTCTAAGAGATTCTGTTTATTTTGTTCAATCAGACTCTCAATTTACCATGTTTTTATGTTTCAGTAAAGTCATCTGACACAGGAATAAAATATAATTTATACAGTTGCCTTCTGCAGTACAAAGCTCTTTATGTTCAGGTTATAAATTTAAAATAACTCAGCACTAACACTAAATTTGGTTATTTTCCACTGGAGAAAAACCCTAGGTGTAATTATATATTGTTTTCAATGCTTAAGTCAACTCAATCTGCATTGCTCCATTTTGAAAGTATTCCTTATTAGCACTGCTATTATTTTCCTTTTTTTTTCCCTTTTAGCAATGGAATTTATTAGCTTTCAACCTAAGAGAGGTATAGTTATAAACATGGTATGTAAGCATATAGATAGCACTGATCACTCTCCAGAAGTGGTAACAATACCACTTCAAACACATCCCCATGCACACACACACACACACACACACGAAAATCAAGGCTTGAATGTCCTTTATATCTTGTAAGAAATATAGCAACCAATATTCCATGCAGAGGTGCAGCAAATGAAGCCCTGTCAAGCAAATGGCAGGAATGACAGCAGATGTCTGGATTCCTTCATAGCTGGTTGCATAAAGGTAGCACACATATTTCACTGGAGAAAAAAGGGCTCTGACAAGACAGTCTTTCAGTACTTTTCATTCAGAGTTGGCATTTTTGACTGGTGTGGCACATCAGCAGGTGTTAAGATGATGAACCAGATTAATCTTGATTAAGCTCCATTTGCCCAACGAAAGCAAAGTCTGCAACACTCAGTCATGGCTAAATGAGGCTACCACAATGTAGTCCAAAGGATAATGTCCAGATCAGATTCTTACAATCCAGTAAATCCAAACCAGACTCTAGTCTGACCCCTGACCCAAACCACTTATTTTCATGTCAAGCTATACAGTAATTTCATCTGATCAAGCCAACAGAAATGAGTATTAGGCAGCTCTGCTTCTTAGTTGCATAAACAAGCCATTAGACTCCTTTTTTGCATCTCAGTAACGTATTTGATCTTCCAGCCTCTGTTTATTCACAAGTTCTATCTATTTCACAAGAACTGTCACAGGTAGTTAATCTTTGTGAAACAGTTTAATGCTCTAAAGCTTACATAATAACCAATTCTCTTATGGTAACCTCCATCACATCACACGCTCACCAGAGAGAGTAAATGCTGCAAAGCAGAGAAACTTCTTTACTGAATTGACAGACACTCACATAGTTTTGCAAGTTGTAAAAGAACATGAGTAGTACTGTGTTTACTGAGAAATATGCACAAAAGAAGCTGAGGACATAACAGTGTTCCAACATGAAGAAACTAAGAGTAAATAAAATCTGCACTTAACCACTTCTCTATCCTAAACAACAAGAGGGGATGCTTTTAAATGGTTTTGTCTAATAACCAGGCCACTGGCATATTATACAGGTGTTTACTGCAACTTCCCTGAGTGAAGCTACAGCCAGCTAAATTAAGGTACTTTTCAATAAAACTTCTGTTGAAAAGTTCCCCAGATTAGAGCTTAAGAGAAAAGAGCTTTTTTTGTATACAAGGTAAGATTTACTAATGGGGTCCTCTCCAGTAAAACAGAATTTCGAGAAACTCACCACTTTTCTTTTTCTTGCTTTGAAGGAAATGTTCATTTCCTTGTACTTCTTCATAGCAGCCTCCAGTTTATTCTTGAGTTCAATGGCACATCTTAGCCGATCATCATTGATTCCTGCTCTGGTGAGTAACTGCAAAGGAAGAAAACAACGTTCTTACTCATTTTTCTAGACATCTGAGCAAAACAAAATTTCTAGTTTTTCCTTCATAATTAGTGAAATGACATTATCACAAATTCTTGTCTTAAAAGTAATGATTAGCGAAGCCAATTCTTTTCCTATACAGAATATTAAAAACCCAACAACAACTAGTGAAGACAAAGAACGAACAGCTATTACAAACATCTCCTGAGAGCGTCCTTCCACAGGCCAAATTCCATGCAGGAGGCTCCAGGGCATACTGTTTATCTGATAGACAGGTGTCTGACAAAAACAAGATGTGTTTTACTTTAACCCTTTGCAAAAAGCCCTATTTTATCCTGTCTTACAAAAAAAGAACAGATTATTGACTGTAGGTACCACACCCAAGGTTGAGAGCTATCAAACAAGTTACAAAGCTCCTGCAGCCTCCTTTGGTCCACCCCTACTGAAAGAGAAATCTTTCCTAGTTGCTCCTATGTTCCTTTGACCTTATTTTCCTTTTGGCTCACTCTCCCTCAAGACTTTCTGCACCCCAGTCTTTGTTTCACCATCTTTTTGTTGAAAAATTTTTTAAAAAATTGTCTCTTTATCCCACCTGAATCCAGGACTGTATAGAAGGCCAGAATTTGTTTCTGAGAAGTTTGTGAGCGTCCATGACACTGTTTATGATGGCAGTGTTATCTTCATTCTCTTGCACTTTTATATCTGCTCAAAACAGGGAAAAAAAGAGTTAGACCATGATGTTTATGTATCTTAGACATAAATATTTGATCACTTCAGGGAAATGTACAAACATCAGAATACTTCTCTGTTCAGTATTAGTTATTCTACCATTATCCACATATTCAAAAAATCCGGGAAAAAGATGAAGTTTTCAGTTCAGTGATGCCAGAAAGAATTGTTAAGCCATCACGACTAAGGAATCACCAAATAAACCACAGACAAGTTCAGCCTTACTATTTTCATTACACCTTGTCCTAAGTTCAGAGGAGCTGGGCCTTATTGCACCAGTTTCTGCATATTCAATATAAAATAATCCCTGCCCTGGTGGCAGTGGGGACTTGATTGCCAAAGAAGCCAACTATGCTACTATCCCAAGTAAAAATTATACTTTTCACATTGTTAGTCATTGATAAATCCCACAGATTCATTTCCAATTCTGTTCTCAGCAAGAACAGAAGCAGGTAACCCTCCTTACTGTCTGCACATGAAATCCCGTTGGGACAGCATTTGTGGGATACTTCCAAAATACAAACCATCCTAATTTTTCTAGAGGTAATTCCCATTAGCAAAGTTATATATACAAAAGACTTCCTAGCAAAACTACTTACTGCTTCTTGCAAGCTGTCAGTAGCAAGGAAAAAGACAAGATTAATAAACACTCAACTGCAAGATTTTTAAAGTAGCAGCTTAAACTGCAGCTATAGAAAGAGGTGAGTAGTGAAGCATAAGAGAAAGCAAATTATATAGGGTAAACAGATTATTTTTTTAAAAAATGGGAAACTCATCTTATTACAGGTACTATGAAATGCCGTAATGGGCTTGCAACCACTGATACAAAATTTCAGTCTTAGAAGGTAATTAGTAAAATCTGTTATTCACACATAAGAACACTGAAAATTTCTAAGAACAGTTACAAGATGAAGCAGAAATAGAAAAAGAACTCCAAAGTAAATCAAAGTGGTATCTAGGAATCCCAAAGCAAAATGGTGTCCAGTAACCCCAGCCTTTAAGTAAAAAAACCCCAAAACCACAACTACAAAGCACTTTGCACAAAGGGTGAAAATAGCACTTCCAGCTATATGTCAAAAAATTTTCCAGGTACCTGTGGAGATTTCAAGGTCTAGAGTGTACTTATGTGAAATAAGCCCGTGGTTCCTAACAAAAGTCTGGTAATCATCATCATCAAGAGCAGGGTCACTGGACTGAACCTCCGAGCGTGTGCCTCCATCCAACTCTTTGTGCTCAGGCTCCTCCTGTTTCTCATCCAACTCTTTGTTTCCATCAGTTCTGACACACTGAGAAACAGGGAGAATGTCCTTGCTGCAGCATGGCTGCTCATCATCCATGTACCCAAAACAGGACTGGTCAGCTTCCCCCCGGGAGGAGGACGGGGATGCAGACATTTGTTTGCTGGGTTCCAGTTCCGTGTCGTTCACAGCGAAGTTGAAAGGATCTGGCATCAGAAGCTGGAAACAGTTTTCCATCTCTGTCAGTGTATCAGCAATCTCCTGGGACATTTCTATCAAGACAATTGTTTTAGAATATTGTTAAATACTGTAAAATGTTAATTTCTCCAAAGCAGACACTGAGTTACAAAACAAATCTGACTGCCAAAGGGGGGAATCCATTTATCCAGTGATCAGTGATGATTTAGCCATACACATCTCCCTCTGCTGCAGAAACTGTCCTTATAAAAGTGACAGTACTTTTCTTAAGCAGGAAATCTAGAATTTCCTGAGCAAGAAATGTAGAATCAGGGTTCCGCCCTTCCCTATCCTCTCTAAAATTTCATTATGCAAAGATGACACAAGTGCTTCATAGAATTTGAAGGAAAATGGTGAGGATATTCTTAGTGATGTTGGTGGGTATTCATTCTACAGCTATAAACTTTATAGTTGCACATAGGTGTAGCCATGAATAAATGTTCTTGCTCCAAGAGATGCTACCGATAAAAATTACTTTAAGAAAGTTGAATCTCTTTAAAATTCCACTCTCATGCATGAAAACATTTCCAGCATGCAGAATAAATGCAGACACAGTTGGATGCATCACATACAATGAAGTAATTTAATTAAATAACCCTTTGAAACTGCAGCATAACATACTAACTATCTGTGTTCTTCTCTGGCATTACAGAAATGTTTTTGCTATGCACATATCTCAGGAGCTCAGCTATGGTCAGCTATTATTTGGATAGCTACTCTCTTGTTTTATATAACCTTAAAAAAGGTTGCTTTAGAAACAAACACCAAACCAAACCAAAAACCCACTAGAAGAACTGAAGTAACTGACCTTCCATTTCTTTTTCAGTTCTTTTGACTTTTTCTTTGTAAACGTTATCCAGCCGTTTTTGCCTCTCCTCCTCCCTCCTCCTTTCAGCCACGGTTCTGGCGTGCACATCTTGAAAATCCACCTAAGGAGGAAATGAGGAAAAAAAAGGGTAACATCCCTCGTAAGAAATATATAGAAAATCCATTTCCTAAGATCCTTATCTGTGGTGAAAAATCCTCTAACACCAGCGATCAGCCAGAAGCTCAGCAGCATTTCCTTTTATCTCTTCTCCTCCTCGAATCAATAACTACAGCAATTCTGAACAGAGCTTTTATTTCTGCTAATAAGGGACTGCTGAGAATCAATGGCTTTCAGAAAGGAATCATAAGGTAGAAAAACAAAACACTTGGATTTTCACCCCTGAAGTGCAGGAATAAACTAGGCTGTGGGAGACTTTTGTCACAGCACTGGAAACAAGGATTTAGGGAGAGTGGGCAGGAAGAGACTAAGCAGGGTAAACATTAAGATTACATCAAAACATTACACTGGATCCACTATTAATAAAAGAAATCCAGGAAAATTTGTAAGCACTACTACCACAAGTATACATCTCACTTACTGAAGAGCTTTGTAAGCATGGAAAGTAAAATACATTCAAATTAATTTTAAAAAAAGACCAAATTTGTGGTTTTACAATTATGTTTGTTGGATTTCGGGATTGAGTGAGAAGTCAACATTCAGTCTCACTTTCTTATGAGTAAAATATAAACATAAATCTGGGCAACTCAAAATGGTGTTTCTTAAAATATTTGCAGTGTGGGGTTGGTTTTTTTTTTTAGTTTGGTCTTGGAAGGGCTTGAAAATGTAAATTTTCACTCCTGCTTTAAGGAAGGGAGTCTTGATTGTGTTACTGCATAAGGAAACCCCTTTGAAAAAGAAAAATACAGCAATCCTTTGATTGCTACCCCAAAGCTTTTATTCACTTCAACAGAGATGACATGGAGTGCTGAGCAAGCCTGCACTTTGCTGATGCTGAAGCTCACAGACTCTCTGGTGCAATGTTTGCAGATACAAGCACTCACTGAAGGTGTCTGTCACTACTGCCACTCTTAGATGATCCAGTATGTCCAGTAATGGCTCCCAGATACTGACATCCTCCACCAAAGTTCTGGAGCCACAGAAGTGATTTTTGTGTAATAGCTGTCACAGAAACTGGCCTGGAGAGTCCCCAGCAGTTTAGGGAGAGAGGCACTCGCACCAAGCTCTTCATTTTTAGTGGGGAATGGGTGGGCAGAAGGATGGTAGGGAAAAGAATTAGTCTCACAGCCTACAGCAGCACATGGATCACCAGTGAGCTTCCTTTGGTTTTCAGGATCTGATTTTTCTACCAAGCTTGCACAGCTCTCCACACAGAAGTAGGAAAGCATCTTCTGACTGTTTATAAAATGATTTTGGCGATAGTTTAAAAAAAAAAAAAAAGGCCAACCGAAACCACAAACCACACACAGAGCTAACACAACTCCTAAGCTGCCCTATACTGCTGTGCCAAACCTGTAACTCTCAACAGGAGAGGTCAAAATGCCTCCTCAAAACTTTGGGTTGCGTTTCACACTTCCAAGCATTAAGTTGGCAAAAGGCCAGTTGGCTCACATCAAGTCTTTAAGTACAAGAGTTACCGAACTACCTGAGATTGCTGCTATTGATATTGATGTTTCCAGAGGAATTCAAACTCAGCTGCTCTAGAAAACAGCACAGCCAGCCTCGCTGGGGAGCTTGTATCACATGGGGAGGGATCCCTCAGTCCTAACTGACCACAGGAGCACAGCCAGACCTGCCAGACTCCAGCAGAATTGTCACACACTGGGTAAAACTGTGCCATGTATTTAACCTCCCTTGTCTCAGTCTCGCATTTCTCCTTGTCACTGTCATTTAGTTTCCTTTCTTTACTAAACAAGACAAAAAAGGAGGATCCAGAGACAATCATCTTTAGTGAGCAGATGCCAAGAACTCTATTAAAAAACCAGCAGAGTGCAGTAAGTAGGGAACACGATGAGCTTAGTGTGGAACCAGAACAACAGAAACACATCATGTATCACAAAGGTTTTTTGATGCACTGTAAGGAACACTGAACATCTGTCTTTCCGAAGAGGAAGAAAATCAGTATGTTTATTGAAAGCCTGTTACCATCACAGATCGTGTGAATGCTAGAATAGCATTCCCAATTTCATTCTCTGTGCAGCAGAAGACATCCTAAAGCAGCAGTTATGTTCCAAACACTAACTGGAAGCCTTGAAGGGAGATTTAAAAGCAAGTGGTTACATACAAGAAATTTTCTCTTTAATAAAACTTCTTGTATGGCACAGTAACACTGCAGTTGGTGGGGGTAACCACCCACACTTGCTGCCTCTGCTGTAAACAGCAAAGGGAAGCTAGAACTGGACAGCTCAGTACAGAAATCAGGTTAGTTTAAACTGGCACAGAAAGACTTAATTGGTTATCCTCAGTTTATGGTATAACCATTATTTCCCTTCCAAAAAAGGGCTAAACGTTGGGGCTCCAGGCAGGATTCAGCGGGTGAAAGCAAATACTTCTTACACCCTGAGAAAAGGCTGAGCCCAGCTCTGAGCACAAGCCTGGGGCTTTTAAAACTTTACAATCCCGAAGGATGGTAAAGGCTTGTTTTCCAAAGACCACGCTCAACAGGACGTGTCCTACAGGCAGAGTACCTTCTTATTCCGCTTTAGGAAGTGGTATCCCAGGGAAAGCTGCTTGTAAGCCTCCCCGTACTTCTCGTGCCAGTCCTGCACCGCCCTGATGGCCGCTTTCCTCAGCTTCTGCGCCACCTCCTTGGGCGGGGGAAGGGGCTGCTCGTGGTCTATGCCCACCGTGAGCTCCAGGAACTCCTGGAAGTTGGCGATGAGCAGCGTCCTGAAGTGGTGGGACCTGGCGAAGAGCTCCTGCACCACCTGGAAGGCGGAGAAGCGCATCTCGGCGTGCTCCTCCTGCAGCCGCGTCACCAGCAGGTGGAAGGCGTGGCTGATGTGCTCCTCCGACGACCTGGGCAGGGAGACGAGGAAGGAGAAGGACCGGGAGTTACTTAAAGAGAGGCTCAGCACATGAAAAAAGCCAGAAGTTCGTGGGGTTTTTAAAATTTATTTTAAATTTTAAACCTGGCAGCACCCAGGCCACCCACAGCACCCAGCCCCCACAGCAGGGCCCAGGGCGGCTCCCGGGGCCGCTCCGCGGCTGCCCGGCCCGGGCAGAGGCAGCGGGGCCCGGCTCGCTCCCTCCCTGCCGCCGTACTTGCAGATCTTCTTCAGCTCCTTCATCCTGCCCGGCTCCAGCCGCGGCTCCCCGGAGGTGGTGAGCTCCTCCACCAGCTCGGCCAGGCGCTGGTCCATGTCGGCCGGCAGCGAGGCAGTGGAGCTGCCGAGACACTCGCCCCGCCGGGCGGGACCTTCCTCAGCCCGGGAGAGCCCCGGCCGAGCTGCGGCAGCGCCCGCGGGCCCGGCCGCGTCTGGGCGGCGCCATCTTCGGCCCTCAGGGAGGCTCCGCCCCTCACTGACCACGCCCACCAGGGAGTGAACTCCCGCCCCTCAGAGGAGGCCACGCCCCTCAATGAAGCCCCGCCCCTCGGGGCTCTCCACACCACACACCCCCCTCCAGCTGCGGGTGGTACCGTCCTCCATCCCCCGCCCCCCCCCTCCCGGCCCGTACCACCGCCCCGCCCACGTGACGCGCCGGCACCCGGAAGCGCCCACAGGGGAAGGGCGGGGGGAGCCCTTAAAGGAGCCGCGGCCCGGTTTGGGGGTGAGAGGGGGTTTGATCCTTTGGTGTTCACGGACACTCGTTGTGACAGAATCGTAAAAACGCAGGGTCGCAGCATGTGCTGAGCTGGAAGGGACCCACAAGAGCCCGACTCTTAGCCCTGCACAGGGCCATCCCCGAGAGTCACACCGTGCGCCCCGTGGAATGTCGAGGGCTTGGAACGGACATGAAATATCGTGTCATTCCAAACCCCTGCCATGGGCAGCCACACCTCCCCCCAGACCAGGCTGCTCCGAGCCCCGTCCAGCCGGTCCTTGGACACCGCCAGGGATGGGGCAGCCCCAGCGTCTCTGGGCAGCCTGTGCCAGAGCCTCACCGCCCTCACAGGGAGGAATTTCCTCCCAATATCTGATTTAAATTCCCCCTGTTTCGATTTGTTCCCGTTTGAAAATGATGTAGGATAATTGAAAAGTGCTTCCATGAATCCACAGCTCAGGCATGTGTTGGAAGCCACGTGAGTGAATTGGTGCTGCAGCTCTGTCTGCGATTGGGAAAGACAGCACTGAGCACTTCTCACGAGAAATGAACTTAAATCTTCGACCAAATTTGCTGCAGTAAATGAATACATACATTTGCAATCACTCTGTTATTTCTGATTCAATACATCAAATCAGTGGCAACTCACTTTTTAGCAATGTTTCTCCTTTCCCCACTGCCTTCCGTCAAAGAAAATGGATTTCCATGTAAAATTCACACAGAGAATGGCACCGTTCATTTTGAAGTTTAGATCAGTTTGCTCTTTCATTATTCCTTATTTTTTCTATTTCTCTTCCTCATTTGATTGAAAGTGCCTCAACAACTGCTTTCTGTTAGGGTGATATTTGCAGAAGTAGAATTGCTGTACTATCTGGAAACAGAATTTCAAAATGAGCCTCAAGCAACAGAACTTACCATCTACAAAGGCACCGATTTCATACCCTTGCATAATGTTTAAAGAAATCCCTGCAAGGAGCCATATGGTTTTGCAAAGAACCGGCTGATGAATGAATGCTGAGTTATGTAACTCATTCATGGTAGTCCCTTAGGCAAATCCCAGCCAGAGCTAGGCTATTTATTTATTTATTTGTTTTAAAAAATCAAAGACAATTACGTAAAACTGTGTTTGCTCAAGTTGCTGAGTCCCTTTCCGCTCTCTATTTTTTAACGAACGTGGTAAATATCCACCATTCAAGTATCTCCGGATATTTTTCCTCTGGACCAACATGCTAAAAGGCTGAAGAGAACCAGAACACTGAAGAATTCCTTCAGCTGCAGAAGTCCCAACCCTCTGCACCTGCGTGGATTTTCCCTGGCACGGCTGTTCTGGGCTGCTCCATGGAGGGGAGTGCAGGACACGGTGGAGTGCAGAGGCAGAGCTGAACATCCCCTCCTACCCACTCAGAGCCTCAGAGTTCAGTGTCACTGTCAGTTTGCAGCTGCTCTCAGCAAAGCCTGAGCCTGCAGCTGAGTGAGTGATACCCTGCAGGAGCAGAGATTCTTCCAGAAACGCTGTCCTGTCCACCACCTCTCCAGGATACTCAATGCTATCATGATTGGCAGGAGGCCTTTGCAGTGGGAATGTTGTCCTACAAGATATTTCCAGATATGACCACTCGGTCCATCCAGAGGTCATCTCAAGTTCACCCGATATCTTTGGCCAAATACACAGGCAAAAAAACTCCAAAATTTTGCCCATTGACACCAATTACTTGGGTCTGGCTGTTCTTACATTAAATAAGAACCATTTGTTCCACTACAAATATAAAAGGTCAAACTGATGGCTCTAGGAAGGATTTTTTCAGACTTTGAGCAACACTAAATTATCTGCTGCAGTCTTTTCTAAAAGAAACATCTCAGTAGGAGACAGTTCCACCATTTCACTGGATGATTCTTTGCCAGGGTTTGTTTTCCAGCTTTGCAATAAAGGAGAATGTCAGTCAGAAAGGAACCCCCCTGAACTTTTAAGATAGCTGTATTCAGCTTAATGATATGAAATTAAAAAGGAGGATTTCTTTTCCTGCCAAAATGGAAGTTGGAAAAAAAAAACCAAAACAACCTTCCCTACAAATAATTTGGAGTTAAAATAACTTTGGTTTCAGATCTGAAGATACAGAAACATGATAAACACTGACATTAAATTGTCACCAAGTTTGTGCCAATTGGGCTGCAAAGAAAATGATCTCCTATGTGAGCTGAATAGATGCTGAACCATTGCTTTGAGTCGAGCAGAAGGGTGACAGATACTTGAAAGCTTTGAACTACCCCATAAGGGGTAAAGACTATGTTTGAGCAGATGTTCCCAAAGGAGAAATAGCCTATTCATTAAACCATCAATAATGCAAGGCCAAAGATACTTGGTGACCTCCTCTCATTACGTGAAATAGTGACTGTGATGACACTTTTGCTACTGTGAGGTTTTGTAACTCTGCCCTGGGAGAAGATGAATGAACCTGCTCTGTATGGTCTAGATCACTAATTAAATAACCACTCGTGAGCTGGATGGAGCAGCAATCACTGTGGGAGAACCACCACAAATCAAGGAGAACCTTCCTACCTGTAGCTTATATTCATGCCTAGAATAAGCTTTAAAAACAATCCTACAGCGATTCCTGACACTGCATGTCAATGTGAACACACCTGACTGCTATCAATGAGGGTAAGTTGCTTTCTCCTCCTTGGAAAGATCTGTGCAGACTTGAACTGGAACTTTATGAGCATTTTTCTGTGTTAGACAATACATGTCCACATCACAAGTTAAGATTGTGACATGAATGCACCCAGAGAAGACCAAAGCACACCCCACCTCACTGCAAGTGGGTGTCTTTGGGGGCCTGGGAGATGTCAGCCTGTAAGGCAGGACTCAGATCAGGTGGCTCAAAAAAGGAGGAGCTTGAAGCTTGTTAACATGTAGAAAAGGAGAGTGCAGAGGAAAAAGGAGGCTCCCAAGCTTCCAGAAGAGGGGATCCAGCCTCTGATGCTGAATCAAACAGTGACAGGAATGGCAATTTCACACTTATGCAAATATTGCTTTCTAACATAAAACATTATCAGAAGTTTCTTAAACAGCTTAGAGACTGGCTTGGGTGTCCCACTGACTCATTGATGGAACTGTTTTGGAGCTCTTTCTGCCTGATGGATGCCTGAGCTGTCCCATCCTTGGGAAGCCACAGCCTGTAATAGAACTGCGGTTGCTCGAGCTGGATTCTCCAAATTAGAGGCTGCACAGAACTGTGGCTTCAGATACCCAAAGGAATTGCTTTTTAATTCGTTTCCCAAGGACGTGGAGAGAACTGCTCTGCTAAAAGCTGCAATGCTGCCTCCAGTTACCTGGGAATGATGGAGTCCATTCCTGATGTGAAACTGTTGTCGCCGCTTTCGGACCGGACGGGTGATGGCTCTGCGTGTGTCACAGAGCCATTGCACACCACTGCACAAACACTGCCTGATCTGTGGGTTTCCATTTCAGATTCCTCTGTCCTGTTCATGCACCGAGCAGCTTGAACCCACAGTGACATTTCAATCAGTCACTCGCAGGAGCAAGTCCTCAGTCATCCATCTAAATCCACTGCATTCCCTCAGCACCAGGAGAGTGCCCAAACGAGCCTGATCTCAGCCCTCAGGCCTGTTTGGTATTTCTATCACCTTTTATTAGCAGTGAACAAAAAAGCCACATGGATCAAAACAAGCTTTTCCGGGGTATTTCTTTTACTTGTTATGGTAAAAGAACGCTTTGTCTCTGTGAAGTGATTATTTATACAGGTCAGTTTTGCAGGCAAAAGGAAAGTCCCTGGCTTGAGAAAATTAGAAGGTAGTTGGGACAAAAATAGAGTGCAAAGACCACAGTTTAAGAGAGAAGGAAGTATTGAAGTATAACTACAAGGAAGAAGGAAGAGTCTTGAAAAGAAGACGGTATCAAGTTTTGTTAAGTGTCTGTAGCCATTTATTTATGCTTTTAAGGAGGTGTGTTGCACTTCTGGGGCTCAATATGCAAGTTGGAGCAGAATGGGAAAATATTTATTCATGTTCCATGTACTTGTGCCCCTTTGCATGCTCGCAGTCTCTGCTGCAAGTGTGTCACAAGAGTCCCACTGACCAATACACAGCATGAGGCAGAGAAGGACCTGGGAGTGCTGGTCAGCAGCGGCTGAACATGAGCCAGTGCGTGCCCAGGTGGCCAAGAAGGCCAGTGGCATCCTGGCCTGTATCAGAAACAGCGTGGCCATGGGGACAGGGCAGTGATTGTCCCCCTGTGCTGGGCACTGGTGAGGCCACACCTCAAACCCCGTGTCCAGTTTTGGGCCTCTCACTACGGGAAAGACCTGGAGGTGCTGGGGCATGTCCAGAGCAGGATAACAAAGCTGGGGAAGGGTCTGGAGCACAGGTCCAACCAGGAGCAGCTGAGGGAGCTGGAGGTGTCAGCCAGGAGAAAAGGAGCCTCAGGGGAGATCTATCTCTAGGACTCCCTGAGAGGAGGTTGTAGCCAGGCGGGATTCAGTCTCTTCTCCCAGGTAACAAGTGACAGGACAAGAGGAAATGGCCTCAAAGTTGGGCCATGGGAAGTTTAGATTGAATATTAGGAAAAATTTATTCACAGGAAGGGTGGCTAATCACTGGAAGGGGCTGCCCAGGGAAGTGGTGGAGTCACCATCCCTGGAAGTGTTCAGAAAACATGTCGATGTGGCACTTGAGGACATGGTTTGTGAACATGGCAGTGAGGGGTAAG